AAAAAGATTTGGCATCTTTGCTTTAGAGGCTTTAAAACATTCCTATGACATTAATCAATATAGATTTAATGGACTATAAAAGGATAAATACATAGTTTAGTGCAATGTATAAATTCATTTAGATTGTAGAAAAAAGGTATTTCCGCACAGACAGTCCAAAAGTCTATCATAAACTAAATAGTAGGTAACACAACCTTTTTTTAACAAATGCATCAAGAGCCAAGCATGAAAAAGAATAAACATAGAGGAAGAATCACCAGATCAACGTTTGGCACGTCAAGACCTCGGGCGGCCACATCAGTTGCCACTAAGACATTGAATCGGCCATCCCGGAAAGAAGATAGAGTTCTCTCCCTTTGGTTCTGTGATATATCACCATGCAGTGGTTCACATTTAAAGTGCTTTTGCATTGTATACGCCAATCGATCAGCATCACGCTTTGTTTGAGTAAATACAATACATTTACCTCCTTTGCCATGCTCCTGATAACAGATCCACCACGGTGTTTCATTCATAATGAAATGAATCAACATGACAAATATATAATTAAATATATCAACACGCTAAAACTCCAGACATACAGTTATCAGAGGACCAAGTATTGCTGGTTTCTCTCTCGACTCCGATGCAATTGAATACAACGAAATCCCATCAGCTAATTTCTGATCAGATTCACCCACCTACGATACATAATTAAAGTCGACAAGCCTAAAGGTCAGCCACCACCATACAAGAATATACAAAGGACAACTGTATACTTGCTCAAAAGGGAGAAAAGTAAGGGGAGAAAAAAAATTATAGTGATTTAGTGCGAAGCTGTATCTTACAAGATCGATGGTAACTGGATTTCTCAAGAATTTCTGAGTAAGTTTTTGTATCCAGTTTGGCATTGTAGCTGAAAACATCATCGTCTGATGCTTCTGTGTAATATATCCCAAGATAGTCTCGACATCATCAGCAAATCCCACATTAAGCATCTGATCAGCCTCATCAAGGACAACATATTGCACTTTTGACAAATTCAGGGCCCCGCGCTTGATCAAATCAATGACACGGCCAGGGGTCCCGACAACCACATCAACACCACGGTCAAGAGTACTCATTTGGCGGGCTATGGGAACACCCCCATAAACACATAGAGTATCTAACTTCTTGGCAGACTCGGCAAATTCTATGTCCACCTGTTTAGCAAGCTCTCTGGTAGGAGCAAGAATAAGTGCTAAAGGGTCTCTGCCCTGACTGAATGACAAAAAACAAACAACAATGCAGCCTTCAAAATTCACACTTCCAAATAAAATTCAAGTAAGAAGATTGCTGAAAATTTTAGAAAGCTTAACCCGTTTTTGTCATTGAACTTAATGATTTTATCCATGATAGGAATCCCAAAAGCGAGGGTCTTCCCTGTTCCAGTTCTTGCTCGTCCAATCATGTCGCGTCCCTGCATGGCCGGTTCCAAAACTGCCTTCTGTATTCATTAAGAGAAACAATCATATCCAACCAATCACAGGAAATGACCATCAGCAAATATGAACTAAAAGGCACATATTTTCTTCACACAGATGCATCTGGATATATACTTCATGTGTTGAATCATAATGCTTTCAACATAATACTTACAAGTTTCCCACCCGGAGAAAAAAAAAAAAGAAACAGCTCTTGTCTTCTTTACATTTTCTAACTTCAATTAAGTNAGACCTGTATTGGGAAGAGCCGCTGGATTCCCCTACTCGCCAACGCCGATATAATCTCCTGTGAAATCCCAAGCTTCGATATCTCAAGCCCTTGATCCGAAGATCCGCTTGCAAAGGCCTTTTTCTCCTCGGCATCAGAATAATCGGCCACGGCAAACCCGGCCCGCATAGCCAAGCTCGAATGGAAACCTCTCGTCAGCCCAAATGCCGGCGAAGGCCTGGGCTGAGTGGATTCAGTGGCATACGGCTGGATTTGCGGAGAAAGGATAACATTAGAGGAAACACTTGATTTTCGCCATAAGAAATGGCCGAGCACAGTGAGAGCGAGTCCATTAGATGATGGTGAAGATCGCCTGATCAAAAAGAGGCTGCCCATATATATATATTTTAATTTTACTATTTTTCGTTTTCCTAAGAAATGAAAGAGGTGTGGTGAGAAAGGGAGAAATTGAAGGATTGAAGAGCGTGGGGTTTGGTTAGGGTTTATGAGAAGGGGAGTGCCAGGAGTGAGGACGACTGTGAAAATGCAGCTGATATAATAAAGTAGTTACAGTGTTGATTGGGGTAAGGGTTGTGGATATTTTACGTAGTTGATTTTTTTTTTTTTACTCAAATATTTTACGTAGTTGATTGCAACCTGTCAAATACCACATAATGGTCAAAATTTACGGCAACCATTTTACGGCAATGTTCGAAATTCGTGGGCCGATCTAACAAAGCATTGCCTGGGCTAAAAACTAACAGGCCGATGCTAAACAATTATTCCCCATAATCATCTCCGGCCCAACATCGTGACAAATCTCGAACCCATTTTCAACCAGGTAGATCCACGACAACTCCAAACACAACGCACCCGCCCACTAACCTCCTTCCACGTGTCTTTTCACACAAGTGTCATTATATCATTCGCCACCTGCCCGGCCCTTTCCACCTGGTCTCCCCGTTACATAAACCCCTCCCCCCACCAGTTCATTGATTCCCCCTCTCGAGAGCTCGAAAGTTCCACAACAATGGCAACTCCGAATTCGTTCCGCGTCCTACTCCTCCTGTCCCTCTTTCTACTGAATTCTTTTCAATCCGAATCGGCAGTGGCCAGCATAGATCTCGGCTCCGAGTGGCTGAAGGTCGCCGTGGTCAACCTCAAGCCCGGCCAGCCGCCGATCTCGATCGCCATTAACGAGATGTCCAAGCGCAAGACGCCTTCCCTCATTAGCTTCCACGCCGACTCGAGACTGATCGGCGAAGAGTCTCTCAACCTCCTCGCGCGCTACCCGAACAAAGTTTACTCCCATCTCCCCTCTCTCCTCGGCAAACCCTACAGCTTCGCGCGAGATCTCCTCCAGAAGCTGTACTTGAGCTACGAGATGGCCCCAGATGATGTGCGGGGCGTGCCGGTTTTCCAGGCGGAGAGTGGGAATTTTACGGCGGAGGAGCTGGTGGGGATGGTGCTGAAGTATGCGGCTGGGCTGGCGGAGACTCACTCCAGGGTGAGTGTGAAGGACGTGGTGATCACGGTGCCTCCGTTCGCCGGGGTGGCCGAGAGGAGGGGGCTTCTGGCGGCAGCGGATTTGGCGGGCCTGAATGTTCTGGCGTTGGTGAATGAGCATTCGGGAGCTGCTCTGCAGTATGGGATTGATAAGGATTTCTCCAATGGATCAAGGCATGTAGTCTTCTATGACATGGGGGCGAGCAGCACCTATGCTGCATTGGTGTATTTTTCAGCTTATAATGCCAAGGAACTTGGGAAGAGTGTGTCCGTGAATCAATTTCAGGTGAATTCTTCTTTTCAGTATGTTGGACAATTTTGATATTTGAATGGTTACATTCCTCTAAAATTGTGATAGAAATGCGTTTTCTCTTTTGTTGATGTTCTATGGTGATTGTGAAAGTTCCTGTTTCTTGATATAAAATTACTGTCTTGGTCAAGAACCGACTTTAGAATTTAGATAAATACGTTGGTGGCGTTATGTAGAGAAATATTTTGCATTTGTTTTTTCTGGAATTTTTCTATAAAGAAGCACTTCATATTTGAATTGATATTGTAGAGTTCGTTGAAGATGGTCTTTAAAGTGGACAGTCTGAAATTCCTTGGTATTTATGGTTTAGGTGAAGGATGTCAAATGGGATGCAGAACTTGGTGGTCAGAGCATGGAATTGAGGTTGGTGGAGTATTTTGCGGATGAGTTTAATAAGCAGCTTGGAAACGGAGATGACATTAGGAACTCTCCCAAGGCAATGGCCAAGTTGAAAAAACAAGTCAAGCGCACAAAAGAAATTTTGAGTGCCAATATGATGGCTCCAATATCTGTAGAGTCTCTATATGACGATCGAGACTTCAGGTTTGTCAATCTTTTCAAGAATTACTCTCCGCCGCCACTTCTTAAGAAAGTAGAGCTTCTTATCATGCTTTCTAGCTGCAGTCTTTTAGTTACTGTTGTGGGAAACTTAAATCTCTTTCTCCTAATAAGCGCCTGACTTGCTTCACTTGTACTATCCATGACCTCATGTAGTAACTCCTCACTTGTTTCTTGGTATTTTCCACTTCACAATTGTTGTGACCTGGGAATCTGAATTCTGATGAATTTGTTTTGCTGCTTGTTATTTCCAAAAAAGTCATTCTTCTATCACATATTCATCAAGTAACTGCTTTTTTTTCCTCTTTGGAAACTTTTTACCTCTAGGAGCACAATATCTCGTGAGAAATTTGAAGATATTTGCAAAGATCTTTGGGAAAAGGCCCTCGTTCCTCTGAAAGAACTTCTTGAGCATTCTGGATTGAAGGCTGATGATTTATATGCAGTGGAGTTGATTGGAGGTGCCACTCGAGTTCCCAAGTTGCAGGTTGTTAACATCTGACTTCTGCAGTCCTTTATGTTGTAGGATTTCAATGTGAAATGGGTGTTTAACATTTACAATTTTAACTGACATGGCTTAAGTTTCTCAAGAAGTATTATGTTGTCACTCTTAAGTTTAGACATGGAGATTAAGTGATTCACTTAATAAGTATTGTTTTTATCAAACTCTGCTTATTTGTAGCTAATGGGGCTAGCACTAGGAGCGGACTTTGTCAGGAGAAATCAGAATTAAAAAAATAATTCAATCTATTGTAGCTTGATTACAATTACTAACATTGATGATTTAACTCCGGCCTTGAATTTCATATTTAGGCTAAGCTTCAAGAGTTTCTTGGAAGGAAAGAGTTGGACAAGCATCTGGATGCTGATGAGGCAATTGTTCTAGGTGCCTCACTGCATGCTGCCAATTTAAGTGATGGAATCAAATTAAACCGTAAGCTAGGAATGATTGATGGCTCTACTTATGGCTTTGTGTTTGAGTTGAATGGTGATGGTCTTCTGAAAGATGAAAGCACCAGACAGCTTATTGTACCAAGAATGAAAAAGTTGCCTAGCAAGGTAAAAAACTTCTCGATAAAGAAAGTGGTAGATCTCATCCAATGGCATTGGCTTGATTTGTTTTACATTGATTGCAGATGTTCAGATCAATTGTTCACAACAAGGACTTTGAAGTTTCACTTTCTTATGAGAATCAAGATCTTTTACCACTTGGATCCTCTTCTCTGGTATTTGCACAATATGATGTGTCCGGTCTCTCAGATGCTAGTGAAAGGTAAGGATTCAAATTCTGTAAAATCCGGGTTCATTTGATTACGCGACTCTGTTTTATTAATTCCCCAGCTTTTTTCAGGTACTCATCACGAAACCTTTCCTCTCCAATTAAGGCCAATTTACACTTCTCCCTCAGTAGAAGTGGCACTTTATCGTTGGATCGGGCAGAAGCTGTTGTTGAGATAACTGAATGGATAGAAGTCCCAAGAAAGAATATCACAGTAGACAATTCAACATCTACTTCGGCTAATATTACGGATGGTGATACTAAGAATCCTTCAGATGAAAACCCTGACAAATTGGAGACTACCAATGGCAACGGTAACAGTTCTGAGTCTAGTGTTAATGATAATACTAGTACTGTGGATCTTGGTACTGAAAAGAAGCTGAAGAAAAAGACTTTCCGAGTTCACTTAAAGGTATTCCAAATCGATCAAATCCTCGTGTACTGTTGCTGCTCTATATTCTTGAGAACCCTGATTGTATGGTCTTGTAGGTTACTGAGAAAACAACTGGGCCTGGAATGCCTCTCTCGAAAGAATCTTTTGCTGAGGTGAAACAAAAATTGGAAGCTTTGGACAAAAAGGATGCGGAAAGGAGAAGAACAGCTGAATTGAAAAATAACCTGGAAGGATACATATATTCTACTAAAGACAAGGTACACATATTTCTTGTTTGTTCACACAGATTTTTGGTTTCCATGACTACAGTCTCATTGATCATGCCTTGAACTTGCCCTTACTATATTGTATGAATTAAATGTTGTTGGATATTGTTTAATAATTACAAATGCTCTGTTGATGTTTCAATATTCTTCTTGCTTGGACCAGTGTTCTTACTAACTGATGGATATATAACTTAGCTTAGTCCTATAAAGGTTTGATAAACATGGTACTACTCTTCCATAAATATTCTTTCAAATTATTCCCTATTCATTGCTACCTTGGTGGTGATGGGTGTTGCTTAGGTGGTTTCACCTGTCTTTTATTGAGTGTTAGTGTAATTATTATATTTGTTTATGATCTGGTAATTGGTATTCAAATTTTCAAGCATCTCTTACTTTTTTTTGTGGCATTTAATTAACTATTTTGCTTTCATTGTTGGTATTAGCTTGAATCAGATGAGTTTGGAGAAATTTCTACTGAGCAAGAGCGGCAGTCTTTTATTGAAAAACTTAATGAGGTCTCTCTCTCTCTCTCTCTCTCTCTCTCTCTCTCACTCAATGGAAGAATCAGCATAATCTCCCTCACTCCATGTGTGTTTGTGTGCTTGTTGTCCCGTGTATTTTGATTTTTCGTTTCAAGTATATTCTTAAATCTGGCTGAAGTCGTACATTTGTTTAGGTGCAAGATTGGTTATACACTGATGGTGAAGATGCTTCTGCTGCTGAATTTCAAGAGCGCCTGGACATGTTGAAAGCTATTGGTGACCCCATATTCTTTAGGTTTGTTCCTACATCAATTAAGTTGATTATTAGTAAAGCTATTTCATGGTGCAAGGTGGCCGTTACATGTTAACTTTTATACAGATATAATGAACTCACTGCACGTCCTGCTGCGTCTGAACATGCTCAGCGATACCTTACGGAGTTGCAACAGGTGAGTTGGTTTTATATCATCAGCAGTTCCTAAACCATAGTTATCAAAAACCTGAAATAGAAGCATGTTTATTTTGAATTTCCGGAAGATACTTGTACTTATATTGGTATCTCCTCTGAGTTTTCACGTCACTCAAATTTTAGATTGTGCAAGGATGGGAAAAGAACAAATCTTGGCTGCCGAGAGAGAAAATAGATGAGGTAGTCTGAACTTCATATCTCAAAAAGCATACATTCTTTACTTTTCATGAGAAACTGAAATTGTATCACTTATGTGATTTTTAGGTCATTCGTGAAGCTGAAAAGTTAAAAAACTGGTTAAGTGACAAGGAGGCTGAGCAGAAAAAGTAAGCTCTATCCTTCGCTTCCATTATTTTTTCCATTTCATCATGACGTGAATCTTTTACACTTGTCCAAATCTCTCTCTCTCTCTCTCTGATATAGTCTATTCCATGTCTCTCTTCCTTACGCTTCACGTTATATTCCTGGAACAATGTTGATTGCGAAGTGATTAAAAATTATATTGAGATCGTTTATGGTTATTGTGTCGTGTATTTACAGGATTTAGGTCCTTAAATAAAGTACATTGACAGGTTTGTAAACCTAGCTCACTAAGTTAATTTGGCTGGAAATAGTGAATTACCTATGAATGACAACAAGTATCGTGATGGGATATATTTGACTGTGTAAACTGATGTGTGTTAGCATGTACTATTACTTGGTGATTTAATAAGTTAATTACGTTTAAGCTTATGCTTATTTTTCTTCTATGGTTAACATGTACAATGTCCTGATTTAATCTCCAACAGGACTTCTGGGTTTAGCAAACCAGCTTTCACGTCCGATGAAGTATACGATAAGGTTTTAGATCTCCAGGACAAGGTATTTATCCTTAGTTTTTCTCTTAGATAGATGTTATACGTCGTACATGCATATAATTAATTCCCAAATCAACTTAAGCAATTAATTTATCTCAAGTCAATGTTGAAGATTAAAACCAGTAGGATCAAAATTAGCTGGTTAATAATAGTAATACTGTTAGTATTTGAAGTTCAAGGACATTCATTGATTCGATACGTGCAGAAACATTTAGAATTGACCTAAAATTAGCCTGCAAATATTCCATCTTCTCGTGCATGATGGTTTATTCATGGTCATCCATGTTTCAACGTGTAGGTTACGAGTGTGAACAGGATTCCCAAGCCGAAGCCGAAAGTTGAGAAACCCGCCAAGGTGGAAACCGAGAATACTGGTGACAAATCAAATTCTACCGACTCTGCATCTGAGGAAGCAAAATCCTCGACGGCAGATGACAAGGCTGATGCAGAGTCCAAACCGCATGACGAGCTGTAGGGACATTTGAAAAGCCAAATACTGATAATGCTCGGGCGATATGAAAACAGAGACGGTAGAGGTAGTGAAATTGATTACGGTTAGAATGAATGGAGTTTGAATCCAGATTTTTTAGTTATGATCGGCCTTTGCAATTATATGAGAGTTGTTAATCTTCTGTCATGCTAAGCCTCTATTTAGAAAAGAGAGTTTAAGCTTTTATTCCTACTTATAATTTTTTTCTCTAGAGAACTTTTGGTGGCTATTATATCATTTGTTAGCCATCTTCGCTATTGAGAGAATTTTGTTCAGCTAGTTCGTTGAATATACAAAACTTTGTAATTTATATATGACAGCAGTGTTTGTAGTCTTTCATTTTCAATCAATTGCGCTGTGTAAATGCAAAATGTTTAGTAGTTGTAAGTTAGATAGAGTTATTATTATTTCCCCCCATTTTAGTCTTAGAAGGTTGTCTGTTCAAATAGATGAGATGATGTTGAACAATTATAAAATTGTTTGACAATAATTTTTTGGGAATTTTCTTTTTCCATGCAAACAAGAAAAAAGAGAAGTGTAAAAGCATTACAAGCCTTTGAACACTGTTGTGTTGCATTTACCTTTGTAGTTTTGTAAAGATGAATAAAGAGAAAAGTGACCTTATTTTTACCTTTACAAGAGGAGCTTTAGCATCTATTGAATCTCTTCTTTCTTTCTTTCTTTCATTTTTCATCGGATGATTCCAGGGTAGATTCATATAAAGTCATTTCAAATTAAATCAGCCAATTGTTAAACTTGAACCAGGATAAGATTATTTAAGTTTGTGGATGAGATATGTAAGAAAATAAAAATATAAGTGGTAAGTGTCGGAACAAATTCTCAGTATTTTTATGCTCTGATGGAATTGTTTATTACAAATAACTTTTGTGGTAAATAAGGAAATTGTGAAGGCTAGTGTGGTCTAATGACATCCTATTTAGTTTGCTGGGCTTCTAAATGTGGTATTTCACTAGTGATCCTTTAAGGACCTTGGCTTGCTAGATGAGTCTGAATCTCAAAATTGTAATTACCTTCACACAACATATAAGCTGCTAATACGTTTTATATCAACGCAAGTTCGCCACAGACCTGTAATAATATATGTATTTGACAAGTAAATCTTATTGATGTAAAATATATTTTTTAACTATAATAACATTCCAAATAGATAGATTAAGACAAAATAAGTGTTGATAAATCTATACTTTATTGTTGTAAATAATATCGTAATTGAACTGAAGAAGTCAGAGCTTAACATTTCGAACTCGCGTTTAATTATGTTCGAGCATTATTCGTTTTCCTTTGCTTATTTTTCTGTTCCAACTTCTGTTTTTTAAACACTAGTGTTGATACCCGTGCGATACACGGGGTGCAATACAAAAAATATTTATTATTGAAATATTTTAAAATTATTTAAGATAATATGAAATTATATTCTCTACAATATTTTATTCAGTAATAATATGACATTTATTTATTTATTACTATTGTTAATTTCTATTTTTGTATTTTTTTGTAGTTTTTTACTATTTAATATGTAAATTTTATTATTTATAAGTTTATAAAATATTATAAATGTATAAGATCATATGATATTTGCATACAAATTATTTGTATGTACTTATAAAATTGTCGTTTATTATAGTCTTATAATTTTTTTAACAATTCATAATTTGCACATTGCTTGATAATTGACCAACGTTTAACACATAATATTTATCTTCCGCTAGAATTATTAAGTGCATTAAATGTTAAAAATTTTGATAAACAAACTTTAATTTTTAGTGACTTTAATCCTTATACAACACACAAATTTTTTATAGTTAAATATTTTATTTTTATGTTTTCATTTTTATTTATATTTATTTCTTTAATTCATTTTTTCAACCTATATAATGAGTTACATAGTATCCATTCAAATATTTTGATATATTATATATTTTCATAATTACCAAGTGCTATAATATAAATTATTATATATTCCTTTTTTATTAATTTATTTTTCATTTATAAAATAGTATATAAGAAAAAAATAAATATTTTTGAAAATTGGATAGTTTTTAATGTACATAGGTACTTCTAAGGTGGAATTTATAATTTTGACTTGCACCCGATCATCAAATTTTATTTTTATTAGTATTATTTAAATTTTCAATACTATTATTACTGCATGTGATATATTCAATGGGGATGTACATTTTTATACTTAAATTGACTACATATTTGAAACTTTTATTAATATTTTAGATTATTTATTAAGTTATTATGATTTAAACATAGTTATTCTACTTATTCTATTAAATATTTTAAGTACTTTTGAATAGTGAATATAGTTAATTAAATTAATACTTACAGCCATAGATGATAATATATTTTATCAAATCAATTTCCATAATAATTTTTTGAATTATGCCAATAAATTACTATTAAATTAATAGAAGATCTTACTTAAAATATATCTAATAAATTTACAGTCAAAATTTCAATTTAAGCCAATTTGTAGTTAATGAGTAATAGTCATTGAGTGTATAAGAATTAATTATATTTTTTATGCATATGATTTGCTAATAAATAAATATTAATTAAATGTCAAATATAGACAAAAAAATTTCTCGCCCAAAATCATGTCAATTATGGAAATAAAGATTGGTCTATTATATAGATAAGATATAGAAATAGATATAGATATAGATTTATGGTATAATTATAGGTTCGTATATTTATGGTATCATTGGGTGTCATTATCTTAATTGGTGGTATATATATTTATATGTATTATTAAATATATATTTTTATGCATTATTAAATATCTGAATGATTCTCATACTTAAAATTGATTTTTTATTTTTAGAAAAATTGAAACAGAAATTTATTATTATTTTTATATAGATTTTTTTACTTAAAATTCTCAATCAATAACTTTTAGGAACTTCAAAGGTAGCTGAATAGTAAGTCGCATAAATATTAATGTAGATTCCATATTAATTTGAATTATTAATTTGATACTAATTTAGTTGAGTTAATAGAAAGTGCAAATAGAAACACGGATCTAAAATATTATTGACAAATGCAAAAATAATTAAACTTACAATTATACAACTAAATGTAGAAATGTTGCCAATTATAATCATTGCATATCATCTTTATTTAGCAATAAATTCCATCAACTCCCTCTTTATATATATATAGATATAGATAGATTGATGTAATGAATTGAATCCGTTGGCAAGTATTAAATTAGGTAATAAAAATCAATTAACACCACCTTTCTTTTCTTCTATTCACAGCGTGGGTTACAGCATGAGGCCACCGATCCATCACCCATGTGTTTGACTGAGGGACCACGTGGGATTGACGGAGCATATGGTCCGCACCACACCTAGTCGGGACCCACTCCAAAACAAACGTCATCAGTATCCTCAAAACCCTCCATTCCATTATAGAGTTTTGGTCGGATAGTAACATTATACACGCGCACCCACAGAGCACCCGTCCAGCCTCCTCTCCTCTTTCTTCCTCTCTCCATACAAACAACTCTTTTTAGTACAGTACAAAAGCAGAGAACACAACACAATGGCGCTGCTGGTTGGTTGCAGGACAATGGAGCTTCTTACCTTTTGCATCTTCTCGCTCTACATCTCCTACATTGCAGGTAAATTTCAAAAAAAAAAGAAAAAAAGAAAATGAATTCTCGCGCATTGCAATTTTGTTATTTATGTTGCACCAGCTGTGTCTAAATTTCGGTTTCTTCTCGATATTCTAGCTTCAATTTACTTCAAATCATTCGGCATTGTTCTTCAACAAAGACGAAATTTCTGTGAAAAGCTGTTGATTTCATTTTTTCGTCGACAAACTGTCTTCTTTTCTTTCTGAAAATTGAGTATATTTGAGCTACAAATATCCAGATTCACAATGTGTGGGTGTTTTTGTGTATTTGTGCGAGCAATTGGCCTCAACATCGTTGTATATATATATATTCTAAAATGCCACCGCAGATGGTAGCGGTTTTATCGGCGTAAACTACGGCCGTGTGGCCAACAACCTCCCCTCCGCATCCAAGGTGGTGCAACTCCTCAAATCCCAAGGACTGGACCGGGTCAAGGTCTACGACACCGACCCGGCCGTCCTCCGTGCCCTTTCCGGCTCCGGCATCAAGGTCACCGTAAACCTCCCTAACGAGCTCCTCTCCTCCGCCGCTCGACGCCCCTCCTTCGCCCTCTCATGGGTCCAGAAAAACATCGCCGCCTACCACCCGTCCACCGCCATCGAGGCCGTGGCTGTTGGCAACGAGGTCTTGGTGGACCCGCACAACACCACCCGCTTCCTCCTCCCGGCAATGTACAACATCCAGAAAGCCCTAAAAAGGTACAACCTCGACACCCATATCAAGGTCTCATCCCCCGTCGCCCTCAGCGCCCTCCGGAGCTCCTATCCTTCATCCTCAGGCTCCTTCCTGGTTAGCTCGGTTTTCAAGCCCATGCTCGACTTCCTCCGTACAACCGGGGCACCCCTCATGATCAACGTCTACCCATTCTTCGCCTACGAGTCCAACGCTGATGTCATCTCCCTCGACTACGCCCTCTTCCGGCCCAACTCCGGCTCGATTGACGGCGGCAACGGGCTGAAATACTTTTCCCTGTTCGACGCGCAGGTGGACGCCGTTTTTGCTGCCATGTCGGCGCTCGGGTACGACGACATTCCAATCACGGTCAGCGAGACGGGCTGGCCATCGATGGGCGACCAGCACGAAATCGGGGCCACGGTCGAGAATGCAGCGGACTACAATAAGAACCTGGTCCACCGCGTGCTCGCCGGCGGGGGAACGCCTCTCCGCCCCCACGCGAACCTTACGGTGTTCCTCTTTGCGCTGTTCAATGAAAACAAGAAACCGGGGCCCACATCGGAGAGGAACTTCGGGCTGTTCTACCCGGACGGGAGGAAAGTGTACGATATCACAACCAAGGGACCGTATAATGATAAGGATGTGCAGACGTGGTGCGTGGCAAAGGGGGATGTGGGCCCGCAGAAGTTGCAGGCGGCACTGGACTACGCGTGTGGGGAAGGAGGGGCCGATTGCCACATGATCCAGCCTGGATCTGCATGCTTTGATCCCAACACGCTTGAGGCGCATGCTTCCTACGCCTTCAATACCTATTATCAGAAGAAGGGCCGTGCTGGGGGCACCTGCTATTTTGGTGGGGCTGCATTTGTCGTCTCGCATCAGCCTAGTGAGTGTCTTTATATATTTTTTTTATCATTTTCTTTAGATGCATACATTTTGTGGTGGTGTAGTGTAAGTTTTGTGGTTTTGATTTTTTGGTCAATTTTCAAACTTGGAGTTGAAATGTGCATGAAATATATGAGTAAGCCAGTGTGATGTGTGTGTTGAAAGGTGTGGAAACTCCATGTGTGCAATTGGGGGTAGGAGCGTGAAACATGAAACTTGGTGATGCTATTTGAATGCTATTATGTATTGTTACTTGTTAAGCTCGAATATCACACTTAATAAGGATACGGATCTAGCATGAACTTAAGGCTGGCTTGGGGGAAGCTAGATGAGGTAATAAGTTAAAATAACAAGACTTGTCTTGTGTGGGGATGAGATGGAGTGGGGCAAACATGTGTGATGAGATGTAATATTAATCAGTCAAATAATGGTGAATGTCGGGGGAAGATATTGTTTACACCTATTTTATGGCATGCATTGGACTTATTTATGAGTCATTTCATACACAGATACATATAACTACATAAATATTCATGAGATACGGTTAGATTCGTTTTGTTTCGGTTTGTTCTTCTAACTAAGTTATTCTTTTTTTTTTTTTTTNGTAGGGTATGGCAAATGTGAGCTCTCGTTTGGAAATTGAAGGGGAACAAGAAAACTGAAGATGATGAGATGTTGGCCAGTTAGAGAAATCTTATCTTATTTTGTCTATTTGTATCCTTTTGTAGTTAGTCATAATCGGTAGCACTAGTTAGTAGATGAAGTGTCCAATTACTAGATTTGTATGAAAGCGGGCCGATGTTATTTTTCTTAATAAGGTGGACGCTAATTCTCATTGTCATTGCATACTTCTGTTTGTTATTTCTATTATATCGTATTACGGGGTTGCTTTTGTTGTGTGTTTCTCATTCGTGAGTACATTTCTGTTTTGTCGCTAAAAAATTACCCATCTCTGTGGATCTAAGTTGTTTGATGATGAGTTAGGGTATCATGGTGTGGGTCATTAGACAATTTATGCTTTTAGTTAATTATATCAAATAACAATTTATCTATTTTTTTAGCATGATACTTTAGAATATGATTTGCATTTTGTTAAAAAAAAAATTGTATATATATTGGGACCATGCTATACAATAAAAACAGTTTTCAAACTCATGCAACCAGAAAAACATAATCTCGCAGTTCAATAATTGTATTTCAAACTCATTAATTTGTGTTCAAGCACCGTACAATCAACAATGCAATAAAATGCAGTGCTGCTTAAGTTAACAATCAAAGGATGAATGATAATAATATCGAGGAAAAATTCAGTATTTTTATTCAAGAGAATGGAGCTAGCGTATTCCCACGCTTTCTATCTCCATTCCCTTCCTCTACGAACGCCAAAATAGGAAAATGACAGAAGAAAATCGGAAAAAAAAAGTTAGAAAATGAAATTCCAATGATCTAATTGCCAACAACCTCAATAAGGGTCGTCTCATAATCACTAGGTGCCTCAAAGCCGTGCAAGTTCATGACGGTTGCAGCCACATTGGCCAGCCCACCATTAGGGACATCCGTTCTGAATCTCACACCGGGCGCCAGCCCGGGCCCACCAATTGCAATAGGAACCTAACACAAGAGTTCAAACATAGAATTTCAGTAAAAAAAACCTAAACATGTGATTCATCAATTTTCGAAAGACCTGCAGTTATATTTTGATGTGGCCATGAACTTCTCCGTAACCAGTTTCAAACGACACGTGATAGAATTACTTACGGGCTCAAGTGTGTGAGAAGTAAGAATTTGTATTTTGCCACTCTTGTCAAGGAGTGGTTCCCCTTTCTTGTTCCTTTTCACCATATCCTCTGCATTTCCATGGTCAGCCGTGACAACATATATTCCGCCAACTTGCTCGATTGCATCAAGTATCATCTACAAAAAATGAATACAACTACTATTATAACATCTCACTAGTTGTAACTAGCATTGGTGCCTACCATTTTTCAAGTCCATATCCTCGTCAAATTTCAATGGAACAGAGAAATTTACATGAACAAGCACAACCTAAGGAGTAGTATTTGCAACAATGAACTTAATCCATAGAGTTGTTAAATAAATCATTCTTCACCGAGGTAAATAAATTTCATGCATAGGCGAGTGTTATATCTTCAAAATCAGCATTACCTTAACGGCCTCATCAGCAGCCTTGCAAGCCACAACTGTTGCTTCGATGTCTCCAGTGTGTCCCACCATGTCTCCATTGGGGAGGTTAACACGAACCTGTACACAATAATAG